AAAATTGGTGGAAACTTAACCAAAGTGTACAACATTTCTACTGTACACTTTTCCCAAAAGGTTTCCACAATTTTGGCTACTACTGTAGGGTAGCCCAGTTTTGTGTCAGAACTATGATCAAAGATAAATAGCTGCACCATGTGAAGTGATGCTGAACTTTGCCTATGTTGCCATAATTCAATATATCTTATAATCCTGTCTACCTTATACAAAAGCATTCCATGTCTTATCTTGGTATTTTCTTGCTGTGATTGGTTGGATCATAACTCTCATAATCCCAGTCAAGCCCTAGTAGGGCTTCAGCAGGTACAAGATTCAGTACAGTATAAGTTGGGATAACTTTACATTCTCATAAAATCTTATAGATCCTCTTTTACATCTTCTCTATATATCTATAGTTATCTATCTTAATTAAGTAAAACATTTAGACTATAGTTTGTAATTTTATAAGTTTCTATCTGGCTTTAATCCATATACTTTGCAATTCTATGACAATAATTCTTAATTTTTACTTTTGTATTATTTCAGTATGATGTTTTACTTCTATTTTAGAACAATTGTTATGTTGCTTTATGTTGGTCTATGACCAAAATAAGCAATTAAACACAGAGACTAATGAATTAATTGGAAATAGTGATCACGATGTAATTCCTGTGAAACACATGAGTGCACCAAGGGGGGGGGAAGACTACTATTAGTACATTTGATTTAAAAAGAAGTGATTTCTCTAAATAGTAAACGTTTTTTAAAAATGCTTAGAGATCTCAGTATTTTAAAAAATGTTATCATACAAGCTAATTAGAATATTGCATATTGAAGCTAAAACTTAGATTAGAGGCTCTCTTGTGTCTAGCTTAGGACCTGGTGTTTACAGTATAGTGATCCATCCATGTAATTCTGGTGGAAGCAATGTGGAAGTCATTTGCCATTGCCTTTTTTCAAAGGGGTGTTTTTTTTTTCAGTTTCCCATATGTGCTTTCCTGATCCAACTAATACAGCCAAGTTCTTTGCTCTGGCAATGTTAGTTAAAAGCTACTTACAGTTAGAAGCTGCAACTAACCAGAATACTTTATAATACATTTGAAGCAAGAAAAGTTGGGGGGAGTTGGCAGGCTATCAGACAATAGTTATCTACAGACAGAAATGGAATTGGAAGATGCAAGATAGTTGTCAAGACTGCTAACATCGGATGTTCTTGCTTGACATAAATGAAGAAGCAGACCTGTTTTATTTAACCTATATATCACTTCTAGAGTTAAAGTCAAACAATGTTAGAATAGCGGATAATCGGGAATAGATAGCCACAACCATATCTCAGTACAGTATTTCCAAGGTCAGATGTTGTAACTAGAGGAGTTACCTTCCCACTTCAAACTAATTGGAGAACATGATTGATGACTGTTAAATGAAGGAGTGAGTTATGCTTTGTTATGGGTGATTGGGGGAGGGAGGATTCAGTTTTTGACTACATTATGTAGGTGTGGAAGCTATGTAGCAATAAAAGGATTCTTTAAGGTAAACAAAGCCTCAACGTTCTTTGAAAAGCTGCTTCTTTCAGAACCATGACAATAGTGATACAAACAGAGGTAACCAGATGAAATCATAGGCCCCCCGTGAGAAATCATAACTAAATAAATCCCTGGGTCCAGACAATATCCACACAAGGATACTGGGTGGATACTCAGAATTTAATACAGTAAAAACAAATGTGAAGTTGCTGATCTTCTAATGCAAACATTCAACTTTTTCCTAGAAAATATCTTTTGACTCGGAGGACTGGCAAATAAATAACCTAACCCTCTTGCATTTTTCCTAATTCTAATGCATTCTCAAATGCAGATAGTGTATTTCATTCCTGTTCAGTACTTGGGGGGGGGGGAAAGCATGTCATTTTCTATTTAACTTCAAGGCTGCATTTGAGCAATTCATGTGTGCCAGATGCAGCAAAGATAGCTGAGCTAACAGATTAACCAGGGATTCTATCCACTGCTTAGAAGTAGAAAATCAGTTCAGTCTAAGCTCAGGCACTGAGCCTTGCAGTTCAGAAGTAGCTGCCACAGCAGCAATGGGAGAATGGAAGTGGAGAGGGAACATCTCTGCTGCATTTGCTTCCTTGGCTGGGCAGTAGTCTAAATCTCTCCATGTTCCTTCAGAATAAAGCCTAGCTGGAAGAATTAAAAAAAAAAAACCCATCAAATTCAGTCTAGGCAAGGAGTCCTGGGCTCAGGGCATATTCTCTGTAGGGTTCTGGCACTCAAGGTCTGTTTGTTGTTTTCCTGAAGGATCCAGAGTTGGGTATACTTCAAAGAAAAGCTTCAGAAAAGCAGAGGAGAGTTAAATAACCTAAAATGCATCACGAGAAGTCATCAAACTCTAATTGCAGTTGGACTGCCAATAAATTTAAAATAATAATAATGAGCAGGTTAAAATAGTGTAGGTTTTACTAATACAGACTGATAAAATCTTGGCTTGTAACACACCAGATGTAACTGTGGTTGAAACAAAGAAAGTGTGGATAATTGATATGGCACTTTACCAGGGATAGGCAACCTTGGCTCTTTTATGACTCATGGACTTCAACTCCCAGAATTCCTGAGCTAGTATAGCTGGCTCAGGAATTCTGGGAGTTGAAGTCCACGAGTCATAAAAGAACCAAGGTTGGCTACCCCTGCTTATACTATACTAGGGAATAGTCAAATAAAAGACAAAGAATTGGAAAAGATAACAAAGTATCAAGATCTGAAAATAGAAATTGAGACATTATGGCGTAAACTGGCCATGGTAGTCCCAGTTGTCATTGGCACACTGGATACCATACCAAAACTACTGGATAGAAAATCTGCACATTGAGAAAATTACTGTCAACTGCAAAAGGCCATACTGCTTGGATCTGCACATATACTATGCTGATATATTGCAGCATCCTAGATTCTTGGAAAGAACTTAATGCATAATAAGGCCAATACCAGCTAAATAACTTCCAGCCATAGCTTTACATTATTGGGAATAAATAATAGACACTTTGAAACATGAATTATTATAAAATTAATATATACAATATTGTTCAGTTCAAACCTTCCCTCCCCAAAAAAGAAACATATAAAAGAAAGGATGAAATTTATTTTAGTAACAAGAAAGCAAGCCCATGTTACAACTGTGTTTCTTTCAGATAAACAGAGGGATGTTCAAATAAACAGCTATGGCCGTGGTGGCAAACCTATGGCACGGGAGCCGTCCCTGTGGGCACATGTGCCATCGTCCCACAGTGAGGCTGGGCCAGGCTGCTCCCCTCCGCCTCTCCACATGTGCCTGTGCTCTTGCTCTCTCTTGACCGTGGGGGGGGGGCGTGAAATTGCTCTGGAAGCATAGATCCGGGTGGCAGAGGCCATGCCCACCCAGTGGGCCATGCCCACCCAGAGACCCACTCCCATCCAGCACCCAGCAATACATAAGTGGGTTTTGGGTTGCAGTTTGGACATACGGTTTCTAAAAGGTTCGCCACCCCTGGGCTATGGGATTTGTGTTCCTGCCTCATAGCTGTATTTTAGTTACCTATGCATTTTAATCTAGATGGCTGAATATTGAATATATTAGTATTGTCATCATGGCATTCTACAGACCAGTTAATTTTGCTGTATCGACAACTGAATTTGAAATGAACTTGTTTCTCAAAGATCACCCAGGAAGTTAATTTTTGAAACTGAAATCAGGATTTGTAGCAAGTACCGGTAGCTTGTGTTCTTTTATATCAGTGGTTAAGAAGATGCCCTACAAAACACACATGCACTGAAATGTACTACACACTGAGAAATACTGGTGTGATGAAGTACCCACTTTGGCGAGTTCATAGGTCAAGTAATAGAAAAGTTCTAAATGAGCTCTTCTGAGCTCACAATACTTGTTTCAAATTCGAGACAGGTTGTTCCAGCATTACTGGAAGCATCCCAATACTGCTCCAGCCATTCCAGAAGTGTTTTATGCTCAATTGTTCTAATTTGTGTTCAGAATGGGAGCTTTGGATCTTGAAATGGGGATGTTTCAAGTTTCAGATTGGTTAAAACAGCACAGAGATATTACAGAAAAGTCAGAAAAATTGTCATGTACTAAGGTATTTTGATACCAGGGCACCCCCCTCTCAGAATGTTTTGAATTCAATATATTTTTCTTGAGGCATAAATGCCAACACTTTATAAAGGAGAAAAATTAAGAAGCAGGTGATACAGAAGATGCCTGAAACATGGAAAAGGATAACTAGCCATTTCTATCTTTCCAGGAGATATTGCTATAGTAGCAACTATGCTAAAAGTTTTCTCTTCTGCAATTATCAGCAATATTCTGAGAACAGAGTACAATATTATATCGTTTCTTTTCACACTTTTAGTGTTTGGATCTCCAGAAAGCCGTTTTCACACATCATGGAGTTTATCTTTAACTAATGAAAGTAAAGCCGGTACAGTATTACTGGTAGTACCCCTGAAATCTGAGTTTAAAACGATCACAAAAAAGGATGATACACAGGGCAGAGGGAGATGCTATCAACCATCCTCAGGGAAACCAATAGACTTTTTTCTTTTTGAGTCCTTAGGATGTTGTAAACAATTTATGTTTCAAGTGCTAGCCACTGTATTTTATTGGATGGAGACAAACAGGAGAAAATCTTAAACTGAAATTAGGAGATGGGGTCTTTGGGCTGAAAGCTCAGGTTTGTCCCCCATTTCTCTTTCAGACCTTAGAAGTTCAGCCCCTGAAACAAGGGGTTTGTAATTCCACTTTATCTTGAGATGTTCTTTGGAAAGCAGCGAAAGAAAGAAATTGACAGAAAATGAAGCGTTTAAATCTTTGCAAATGCTGTGTTTTGCCCTTTTGGAAACCGATCCCAAAAGCCCTCCACATTTGGATCTGTTAAGAAAAAAAGTTTCCATTTGCAACTTGTTTTTTAGGCTGGTACAGCATATAAGAGCTGGAGAACTAAAAGCAAAGGAGACTATGGAAGGGCTTACCTTAACTTTGCAGAAAGGGCGGATCTGCTTTTGCCCAAGAGAGCCCAGAACTTGCGGGGACTCCCCTCCAAACTTCGTTTTATCTTTCTTCTGAAGTTTCTCCGACTGCCCCGAGTCCTTCAGCTGAGCGATGCAGTCTTGCAAAAAAAAAGAAAAAAAAAAAGGAAAGGAAAAAAAAGGGGGAGAAAAAAAAATGCGTGGGGAGGGTTGTCTGAAGCTTAAAGGGGCGGGACTGGGGGGAAGGAGGATGCCCAGAGCGCCCACTGCCTGGCTAGAGCCTCTGGTTTGTTTTTTTATTGCCCCCCAGAGTATTCGTCACAGGATCCTAAACCGAGCCTTTTTCTCCAGCTCTGCAGCGGTTCTTTTAAAGCAACAAGAAGCCTTTGCCAGGAATGAGGTTTTGCGGTTGTTGATTTAATCCTACTTTGGGTTCAAACTTTTTGGATCGTATTCCAGACAGAGACAGAAAGGATGGAAAAGGGAAAGGCAAAAAAAGAGAGAGAGAGGAACCCTTTTGCTTCTTTTCCTTTCTGCAGGAGAGGCAAATTAGGGATCGGGGCGGGGGGGGGGGCTAGCTTCAAGTAACTGGAATTGGGAGATGCAAAAAATGTTGCAGCCCAAAGAGGCGGCAGGTCAAAAAAAACATCGGAGGGAAACGACAGAGGGAGGAAAGCTGGTGTGAACGGCCCGGATTCCCTCCTCCAAACGGAACAATCCCATCTGAATCGGTGCGTGCACGTGTCGGTGCACGGTGCAGAAATCTACCGTCCTTTCAAAACTGGGCTTTTAAGGGTTGCGAGCTCTCAACCCCATCTCTCTCTCTCCCTCTCTCTCTCTCTGTGGTGTGGATGCCTGCTTTCGATTCTGGCCTCCCTCCCCCCCCCCCCATTCCTTCTAGCCTCCATCTTTCCCTCCTCTCTCGGTTCGCCCCTTTCTCAGGATATGAGGAAATGTTTAGAAAATCCGCGGCCGACGCCAGCCGCTGACTCATGTTTTCATTAAAGAAGGGAGGCCTCGCGCCACATGTGAGGAGCGCTGCCCGCGCGCCCGCTCCTCCTCCTCCTCCTCTGGCCCCGCCTCCGCTCCCCTCCCTCGCACCTCCTTGGCGCGGAGTGGGAAACCTGGAGGGGCGTCCGGACCGGAGGAGTGGGGGGAGGCAGACGTAGTGGGGCTTATCGGCGGAGATAACTTCGAGTTACTGACCTGCCTTGTTCTTTGTTTGCTGGGAGGGAGGGATCGCTGTTTATCACCTTAAAAGGGTTTTTTTTTTTGTTGTTTTTGTTTTTGCAAAGGACACAACCAAGGGCTGGTTGACACAGAGACTCTAGGGGGGACGCGCGCGTGTGAATCACAGTTTGCTTTCTGGGTCGACAGCTTCCCCGAATAGGGGCTGTTTAGGAGGCCCCGAGAGCCTCCTGCACAAAAGGCCATATGGTGGGTGGGTGGGTTGTTTGAGTGTAGGCATGAAGAAAAGAAACGAGATACGGGTTTTGCTCTGTGGGCTTTGGATGAGCTCAGAACAAATTCCTCCAGGAGCCATTCTACTAGTATTTAAAAATACACCAGGCTCGATGCCGCATTGGAGAAGGCTCCTGAGAATACTGGTCAGCCGAGAAAATAAATCAATGGATTCTGAAAGAAATCAAGCCAGAGTTCTCACTCAAGGCACAAATGACCAGGGTCAGATGATCCTACTTTCTGAAATGGTATGTAAAGACTTGGGTCTCTGGAAAAAGCTCTAATATTGGGAAAAGGCAGAAGGAAGGAAGATAGAAAGTGGATAGATTCAGTTACGGTGGTGAGGGGAGCATATTGGAAGAGCCAAAGGACCACGATAGGAACAAATTGCATAGAAAAAAGTGTGTGATCCCTGTGGGTTAACAACTGGATGATACCTAATCAGCCTAAGCAGGCTCCCTTACCTGACTGAACATACTTAAGTTTGGATGATAGCCAGGAATGAACATGGTCAATATGTGGATGGGAGATCACCAGAAATTTCAAGGACTTAAGACGGTATCCTGGAAGATGACTATAGCAAACTGTGTCCTTTTGTTGCTGAGGACTGGAGGCTAAAACATATAAGGAAAGGCTGCTGGAATTGGGCATGTCTAGTTTAATGAAGAGACGGACGAGGGGGGGACATGATAGCAGTGTTCCAATATCTCAGGGGTTGCCACAAAGAAGAGGGAATCAAGCTATTTTCCAAGGCGCCTGAAGGCAGGACAAGAAGCAACGGGTGGAAACTAATCAAGGAGAGAAGCAACCGAGAACTAAGGAGAAACTTCCTGACAGTTAGAACAATTAACCAGTGGAACAACCTGCCTCCAGAAGCAGTGAATGCTCCAACACTGGAAGTTTTTAAGAAGAAACTGGACAGCCATTTGTCCGAAATGGTATAGGGTTTCCTGCCTGAGCAGGGGGTTGGACTAAATGACCTCCAAGGTCTCTTCCAACTTTATCATCATTACTACTACTACTACTACTACTACTACTACTACTACTACTACTACTATTATTATTAATATTATAAAAAGCAACTGTACGTATCTGAAGTTACCAGAGATGAGCTTTGCTTAGAGAACATGTATTAAAAACTAAGTTTTCAGGGATTCATTAATGTAATACCTTTTAAAGTAAATGTATATAATTTGAATATGGCAAATATGTAGAGAATTAAAAATACATGGGCATAGTATTCATAATTGTTTTGCTCAAAGTTGGGAAATTTAAAAAAAAATCTCAGACAATAACTTTCAGGAGCCAATTTTTTTTTAAATGGTAGTGAAATATTAAAGAGTTAAGCTATGAACACTTTATAAACTCTTCCCTATACTCTCTAGTCTTAAGTATCCTTGGATCACCAGTAAATTAAATCAATACATTTAAAAAGCCAGTCTATTACCTTTAGTAGGATGCTATCTCATTGTCATTATTCAAATATAGTTCCACTGCCAATCCAGATGCCTTCTGCATGGGGTAAGGAAGAGAGTACTCTTTTATCCTTGATTTCAACTGCAAAATATCTTGAGCCAGCCTGTTTAGGGCCAAACAAAAAAGTCATAAAGATATAAACATAGTTTCATGTTCTCTAAAACATAGCATATATAAATATGACTGAAAGCTATCATATCTAATACCACTGAATTTGGCATCATTAAAGGACACATTCAGTTCTTGGAGTGTCAACATCTTTCTTGATTTCATATCTAAGCAATCATATGTCTATGCCAGTGGTGGCAAACCTATGGCATGGGTGCCAGAGGTGGCACTCAGAGCCCTCTCTGTGGGCATGCGTGCCGTCACCCCAGTCCTAGGCCTTCAGTTGGGTTTTATAAAACCTTTTCGCTTTAGGCCTGCGCCGCCTTGTGCAAAAAAAAAAAAAAAAAGGTTCAATCAGTCAATTTCAACTTCTTGTGGGGGGGGGGAGGAGGGGGGGGAAGAATCTTGCAAAGTTGGAATTGATTGATTGAACTTTTTAGTCCCACCCAGTCTGCCATTACCACCACAGCCATGCCCAGCCAACGGGCCATGCCCAGCCAATGGGCCACACCCAGCCAATGGGCCACACCCACCCAGCACCCAACAATGCATAAGTGGGTTTTGGGTTGCAGTTTGGGCACTCGGTCTCTAAAAGGTTCGCCATCCCTGGTCTATGCTATGAATTGATCTACAAATATGGCTGAACTCCTCTAATAATACACCCCATTGAAATAAGTGGGGCTAATGTCTCAGTATTCATATTCATGCAATTTACTAAATACATTATTCTATATTCAGAGTTAACTTACTCAGTTCAGAAGTTGCACAATGCAGCCTTGTTTGCCTAGGTTAGCGTAGGTGGAATTTGAGAAAACACACAGTGCTTAGCAGAGAAGCAACAGGCATAAATCTGGGTGTAATTCAAGAGGATGGCTTTTATCTATAAAGTCCTTCAAGGGCAGCTTATCTCCAATTATCTCTGATGTTGGCAAGCTCTGGGCCCCATTGCTAGCCTTAGATAATGTCCTATAATATGCTCCAGGAGACCTATCTTCTCTCTTGCTGTTCCCGACCTATAAAACAACAGACCCCCCCCCTCCAAGATCCAGCTAGCTCTGACCCTGCCAAATTTTTAAAAGCTATTAAATACCGATTATTTTCTCTCCAGGGTCTGGGTCTGGGATTGGTATGACATACTAGAAGATTTTGCTTTTCCCCCAGCACTTTTGCTATTTGCATGTCTTTGTTTTTATTTTTATGTTTTTTAATTATGTGGTTCTAAAACATTATATTGTTCTTCAATGTTGAGTGCTGCCCTGAACTGTGTATTGAATGGGTGTCTATAGAAATTGTCCAGATAAACAAAATCAGAGGCTTTTTGTTTTCAGAAGCTGCTAAATGCTTGCTTGGATGCATTCTTTTTAAACTTAATGTTGGCCTGAATGACTAAAGCAAACTGAGTTTATAAATGGAGTTTAACGCCATCACAGAGTATAGTTTAGTTTATTGATTAGCCCATAGGCCATATCAAAATACAGAGTTCCAAACACAAATTATTTTTATTTTTTTTTATTGAAAATTTTTAAATTTTACAAAACAATATGGTTCCCTTCCCCAAACCACCCCAACCCTCCCATGCCCTCCCCCGACCTTCCCAGAGCTGAATACAGGCTTAATTAATATTTTTTCAAAAAGTCTTAAAAAACAAATATAAACCGTAAACAAATCTAAATACATTAATTAAAGAAATTGTAGACTAGTTAACAATAATATATGTATAAAAAAAACAAAAATACAAGGAAATACGAGAAAATAGGAAGAAAGAAAAAGGAAAAAAGTCTATAAAATATCTTAAATTTTAAGTATAAGTTATTGAAAAGCTAAATAATATTTTTTTATATCCAACTTATATTGTATAAAGTCTATCCATTTTTTCCATACCAAAAAATACTTCTCTTGCGATTGGTCTTTCAAGAAAGCCGAAATCTTTGCCATTTCCGCCAAATAGGAAACTTTAAAAAACCACTCCTGCAAGGTAGGCAAAGATTCCTTCTTCCAACATTACCCCCAAACACAAATTATTAATAAAATCCTATATAAAAACAGTTCAAAATAAATTTGATATGTAAATAAGTAAAATAATATAAAGTTATGTTTCGGTATCATACCTTCAATCTATCCCAATCTATCCCATATATGCCAATCTCAGCTGAATCATTTTACTCAAGTACTAAGCCCGATTAAATGTTGTTTTCAGATTCTGGCCACACATAAAGTATGTTGTTTTGATATGGGGTTCCCAATGGGTCATCCGTTTAATATATGAACCAAGGTACCTGTCTCTCTCCCTCTTATACAAACAAAAATCAAAAGTATGTGAGCCATACTTCTACCTCTGCCGCTTCTACCTCTGCCGCTCTGCAAATGCAGATACAGCCATCATATCTAACTTTATTTAACCATTGTATTGAGCTGTTTGAATCTCGCTTGTGTAAATATCTCCCTAAGATGTTTTGGTAATTGTATCTTTAAATAGCTGCCTGTTTGAAAAATACATTTATATTTATTCAACCATTTC